TATACATATATATATATGTTCCTAAGGTTATGGGTAACAACTTTCTTCAAAAATTTCCGGAATTCGAGCATGTTGGCTCAGGGGTGAATTTTAAGAATCTTGTGATTTGGGTTGGGTAATCATTTTAATAGCGGGGATATAAACTTTTGAGCATAGATTGATCAATTTACGTAATGTTTGACTAGTTTTGAGTCGTTTGACATCAAATTTGGAGGTTCGAGTGCATTCTTGAATTGGGAAGTAGGCCTTGAGTTGAGGTAAGTCTCTTTTCTAACCTTGTAAGAGGAAAATTTCCCCATAGGTGAACTTAATTAATATGTGTTTATTTGTGGAGGCTACGTACGCACGAAGTGATGAGAGTCCGTATGTAGCTACTAATCCTGTTTATGTCCGGGTAGTTTTAGGTCTATACCATGCTTTGTAGACACCGTTATTTGATTATATTTGTTAATTGTAACAAATGAAATTAAGTTGAGGATTTCCAAGGATTTAAAAAAGTTCAAGTTGAATTGTCTTTATTTTGAAAAAGAATCAAGGAAGGATTATGATTTTTGATAAATGTATATTTGACCGTGTCGCACGTATGATTCGCGAGCGGGGTAATTAGATGCATTTATGGTTCGGGCCGTTCGACCCTCGGCAGTGCATAATTTACATTTATGTTGGATCTGGCCGAACGTCCTCGGTGGAATTCGTATGTGATAATAGAACTGGAAGTCCTTTTTGTAACTTGTATAAATTCATTGTTTGAGAGATCATTGTTTTAAATGAAGGAAGTGTTTTGGGTTCTTAAATATGATGAAAGAATTGTTCAGTTATTTCGTGTTGTGAGTTTTATTGTCATCTCTATATATCATGCTTAATTAGAATTTCATATTATTATATTGCTGGCCTTAGTAAGTGTCGGAGTTGACCCCTCGTCACTACTTCTTCGAGATTAGACTAGATACTTACTAAGTACATATTTTCAAGTACTCACGCTACACTTCTGAACTTAATTGTACAAGATTTGAGGCAAGTGCATCTGGTCACTAGTCCGGCTCGTAGATTTGATCCCCATTTCGAGACTTCATGGTGAGCCGCCTTCTAAGTCGTTCTGCAGCAGCTGAAGTCTTCTTTATGTTATGTTTTTCTGTCTATTTCCTTTCAGATAGTGGACTAGTATTCTTTTGTACATTCTACTAGAACGCCCACATACTTGTGACACCAGGTCTTGGCACACACTAGTAGACTTATGATTTTGGATTTGTTTACATGATTACGATTTGTACTCATTGCTTCCGTTGTTTAATTATGTTACATTTGCAAATTTCTAAATCCTTTTTAATAAACGAGGAAATGTTATCCACTTAATAAGTTATTTAAAAATAGAAAACCACAAGATTGATTTGTGTTGGCTTGCCTAACAATGGCGTTGGACGCCATCACGGCCTATAAATTGGAATTAGGTCGTGACAATGTTGGAACTCGTCGTATATTATGCTGTTTTTTAATTAGTTTGTTGACTTCTAGTCCAGTGTAGTTTGCTGGAGTTATTGTCATGTAATTCAAAATTTGGTTCCAGTATATTATATTGGAAGTCTGATCTCTGAAGGCTTGGCGTCCAATATAAATATATTATACTGAAGTTCTTCTTATTTATGATAACTTGTTTTTAATGATAATTGGTATTTGTTTTTTTATATGTTGTATTTGATTATGATTTTTCATTCTACTCAAGTATTTTTTTCTGGAATTTTATTTTTTCTAATAAATTTAGTTCTAGTATAATATTCTGGAAGTCTGATCTCTAAAGGCTTGTTGTCCAGTATTTTATACTGGATGAGTATTATAATTTGTTCTTGACATTTAGCTATTTAATGACATCCTGCATTTAATATTCACAAATAATTTATTCTTAGTATCCAGCAATTTATTCAGGACATTGAGATGTGTTTTTCTAGTTTGAATCAAAGATACTTCAATATTATATGTTGGATATTTTCTAGTTTCCCCATATATATTCAAAAAGGTACAATATATTATACTGGTATTTTTAGACTTTTAATACCGCTTTTCAAACTATTTTCATATGAAGTTCCAGTATTAAATTCATCATAAATTTAGACATCTAATCACTTCCTGCATTTTATTTTTTAACAAATGATTCATTCTTAGTATCCAGCTTTTTCTGGTTTGAATCAAAGATACCTCCAATATTATATGTCGGAGAGTTTATAGTTTTGTCACGACCCAAAATCCAACTAGTCGTGATGGCACCTAACGCAACTCGCTAGATAAGCCAATTAACAACTATCCAATCCTAATGAAATTTAATAAGGCAAATAAGTAAGAAAATCTGTGAATCTTATACATTTCCAAAGAACTGGCAGTACAAATCATGAGCTTCTAAGATTAGAATTTACAAAGCTGGTATGAAATAAATACATCATCTGTTCGAAATGTACATAAACAGATTTTTACAATCTAAGGCTACCATGAACAAGAGGCAGCTAC